GGAATATATACGTTCGTTTTATGATATACAGGGAATATTCCATGAATATCTAGTGCTGTGTGGGCTATCCTATAACTTTGTGAGTTCTACAGGATGAATAGAGTGATTTGATTTGATTTTGATTCACAGCTACATTTTTATGTGAAGTCACTTCATCAGAAAATAACACGAAATTGAAAAAATCATTTTCCTGATTGATCTATTCTAACCCCCCTCGGCAAAATTAGACATGTTTTTCAAAATCTCTTTCTCTCAACTATTGCATCAATTGCATGTGATAAAGATGAAATTTGCTTACTTGTATCACATTCGAGACACGCTGGTTCGAGAAAATCCTAATTCCTTGCTCAGGCATGGGTACTCACACGGGGATTTTCAACAAGGTGAAGAACAATTTGAAATGCATTCTCTTCATTTATTACAGGGCAGACACGTTCGAACTTCTCGTGATTGACATTACCAGTCCATTCAAATCGTGTTTATAGAGCCTGCAAGGCCCTTCTATCCGGTTGTGTTTTTTCGGAAAACTTCTCTTTGTAAATCCTAGATGCAAGGAGGCAGTTTCCGTCACTTTCCCCCAAAGCATAGACCAGGCTATTTGTTTCATTATGTTCAGTTCTTTATTGAAATTCTCCTCTAACAAGGGCACATTCATCAGTCTGTGGATCATACTGTTGCTACTTTGTGCTGATACGAGTGGGTGGACGAATTATGAATGATAATATTCTTATTTGCTGGTTTAGGTACAATAAATTGAAAAATCATGTTTGTTGTTAACTTTCGTTATTGTCAAGTTCGAAAAATATATAATAGAGTCGTCCTTCTCCATCTCCATAGTGAATGTGATAGAAAAATTCAAAAACTTAGTCAACTGTCTGTTCGTTCTTGTGAAACATACCAGAATATCATCCACATATCTGGGGTTTCCCTTTGCAGGATGAAAAAAAATTTCATCGAATTGGAAGTAATTCTGTGACAAACAAACCGTACCTACCTAAGCAAGTCTAATATTTCCTTTTTCACTACCGGATTGATAGACCAGACGTCGTTGACGGTTGTGTTAGTTTACAAATTTCTTTATAGCTAACAAAATTGGATTCTCGAAGCTATTCAATACTTGGTGCAGTTGGCATATTTTTTTAGTTACTATATTTTCAAAGTAAAAATAAAAATTACTATTTGTTGGCCGCTCATATATTAACGTACAGCCGAAGCTACTGAACCTAGAATCTTGAAATACGCAGGTGGGTTCTTTGTATAGCGTAAATAAGAATCAAGAGAGGGAATTAGGAATTTCCACCCCCAAGGGGGAAAAATAGGGGTTCAAATATTGTATTAAATTTAGCCAGTTTTGAAGTTGGAATCCTGAAGATTTGGGGTAATAAAAAATATTGTAATTATTTGTTTAAAATGGTGGCAAACCAAATTATATGCGGGCGAAGCCGCGGGCAACAACTTGTATATACATATAAACCTTCATCTTGAATCACTCCATCTAATAAAAAACCCGCATTGGAATTCGTTTCGTACTAAACGATCTAAACAAACATAGGCATAGATAGCGAAAAGCGACTTTGTTTCATTATATGCAGTGATATCACAAATTGCACAGTTTTAAATTCATTCCGAATTGCTCCACAATTGATTATTTCCTTTTGTTAGAAATGAGTAAGCATGAGTTTCCAAAGCCAATCAGATGATGCAATGTCCAGAAATATTCATGACAATACTACTTTAGAACAATAGCATGGGAATCCCGTACCGGAAAACTGTGGCGAATGGTATATTTGTATTGAATATTTGCTATAGGATATGCAACCAACAATATCTGGTGTGTATAAACGAAACATGCATTTTGAAATAAGTACAACTGAATGATCCAGACATTTTGAAATAATGGATCTGTTTTCATACAGAGTATGGTCCAACTGAGTTACTGCGTAAGGCAGGACGGAGTAAATGAATAAAATAAAAGTATAAGAAATCAAATATTAGGAATGTCTTTCTGAAAGGTAGGCAACTAGGAATTACACGCATCTACACGATGAAATCAAAGGTGGTCTAGATTGAAGAAGTGGCAGTGTTGCCAAATGATATTTTCTAAATTCTCTAGACAATTCTAACTCAAGTTGATGTTTTTTTTTTCTTAGAACTAGGCCAGATGACCTCAATGCGATTACATTTTTATGGAAGAAGGACATGAAATAAATTGTATACCATTAAGACGTTGCACTAGTGATAATTATGGAATTCCCATTTTACTAGGTACTCATACAGATACATATTTTGTCAAACTAGATTTATTTGATGTTCATTTCATTTGCTGTGACAATTCGTTTCTATTTGACAATGAAGCACCTAAACTGTCACTTTTCAAATCAATGAGAACAAAACAGAAAAGTTAAAGAGAGTTTGCACGTCTAACCGTTTGTGTGAAAAATCTATAAAAAATGATTCATTTTCACCTAATCACAAAGTGTTTTTTACTGCGTAACATCGAAATTAATGAAAAGTTACTCATACATGAAAGTTACTCAATCTACCAGTGTTACACACTTTTTTTTTGCAATTATTCGAAATATCTCCTTCCAACGAATGTGGATGACTCTAGCAATAATGCCATAATTGAGGTGGCTTTTGACTAATGAAGGGAACAAATATTTTGATGTGCGGGTAATTCCGCACATCAAGCAAGCAATAATCGCAATCAATAATTGATCACAAGCAATAATCCCATAATCGAGGTGGCTTTCGACTAAAGAAAGGTAAACATTTTCTGAGGTGTTTGATATCGAATAAATCCCTTAGATATGAGAATCGTTATAACAGGAAACATAATTTTCTGGTCAAGCGATGAATGAGTTCATATTTCAGATTACAGTCGACATATATACCAATATACTTGACACTATCAGTATATTTTTAACTGAAATCATACTATTTGTACTAGGTGTAGAACTCATTTCGAAACATTCAGGTAAGTTTTCACTGTACGAGGTAAATGAAGAAAATATTGTTTTTTATACATTTATTGTGAGTAAACGACTGTCTGATCAGTCAATGACTGTTTGAAATCTTCTTCCACTGTTGTTTTGAGATATTCCCATGAAACTTCTTTGTAGAATATACCTACAACGGTATCGTTATCAACGGTTCCTTCTAGGCTGAATTCGTCGATGTTCAAGTTTGACAAGCATACTGGTGGTTATTCAGAGGGGATGCATATAAATAGATAGCCTTCTGACATTTTTTTTCGAGAAGTAATACTCAAAATCCTGAGAAAATGAAGTTTCGTCAGGAATATTGGAGAATCTTATTGTTGGTCCCATATATCTGGAGGAAAATCTAACAGGAAAGTCAAGAGATTCAAAAAATTATGAACAACAATCAAGAAGAATTCAACAATCTGGTTAATTTCCCACAATATGATGTGCCCCTACAGTTTTAGGCTGTAAGATATTGGTTGGATCAGAGATACCCAGACATGTGGATTGGTAGGAGTAGTTCGTTAGAATGGCCTACCCGTTAACAGGATTTCTTTTCATTCGATTTTTTCTTTGGAGCTTTATCTTATAGAAAGATTATGTTATGTAACCTGGGACAATACGGAAACTCCTTTCATTGAAAATGTATTCGATATGTTCCTGAGCGTTCTGTTTGACAACATTTTCAAAAGTAACAATGACTTATCATTTATAATTATAGATCACGATTTTCAAGTATGTCGCTCCTCTCCTATTAGAAGTAAAAAAAAAACAATGAAACCGGTCCTGAATGTATTTTGAAAATTATACAGTTATTTGTATAAAGTCATCATCACTGATGATCTTATAAATATCACCCTTTCGTCGTCCACTGGAATGTACGTGCTTATACATCTTGACATAAACTGGAGGAACTCTTTTTATTTTGGCAGTGTCCGCTATATCTTCCATATATTCGCCCTGAAAAAGACCTAGGAGATGGGTCTGATGGAGGGGTATTCCAAGTTGCTGCTTCCTCTTCATATATTCCATTACTTCTTCCATCATTTCCTCTTTCGTTATTGATATGTTGCCATCCAAGTAGGAGAGAAAAAACCTAACCTAAAATAAATTATGCAAATATCCATTTGAAAATGATTATCGAAAGTGATACCACAATACCTCAAAAGTTTATTGAAAAATTTTCGTATTTCAACCAGCACGATGAAACTACGAACCCGTAGTTTCATCAAGCAAGGCTAGACCTAGATCCATCGGGCCAAAAGAAGTGAAAGGAGACCTGGAAAGGACCTGAGTTGGAACTTTAGGAGGAATGGCAACAAATAGGAAAAAATGGAGGAAGATGTAACCAAGATGATGAAAGGAACCTCAGCCAACAGAGAATATAGCAAACCTCAACAGCGGTGCAATTCCTAAATAGGATGTTTTAGCAATATTTAATCTGAAACATGTTTTTGCCTGTTACCTGTTACCTCATATCGTCTGAACAGGCAAAAAGTTATAGTCTTTATACTTGTTTGGATGGTTTTGAATGAATATTATGTTTATTGCGATTTCTTAAACAAACAAGTAAGCGGTGGAGACAGGAACTGATGGATGATTGAGTGTGATTTTGATTAGGTACCCTGATGAATGTTAATGAAATGTTCAATTCAATTTTTTGAGGAATAATATTTGTGTTTTCATGGTTATAATGTTTTTTTAATAGAAAATGTTTATTTGGTCAAATGTAAATAGCGTATACCTAGTTGAAATTTTATGAATATCACTGAAATCAATTTTTATATTTTCATTCAAATTGAATGTTATTTGCAATTACTTCGTTTGAATAAGTAACATAACCTTCTACATTTTTAAAGACGTCATCTGGAAAACGTAAATAACAAAAAATTGGAATAGTTTGATTAAAAATGATATTAAATCACGTTTTTCAATTATCCGTTTCTTTCTGAAGTGTATCAGTATAGTAGTATCAGTTCTTTTCACCATATGCAGGAAGTAGGTGTCTCTGTTGATTCATAAAAATTTTTTTTTTCTGCATATGAGTATTTTAATGCGGATTTACACAAACGTACTCGTTTATGACTAGTTTCGCTTTCAGAAACAGTAACAAAAATCTTGATTTGGTTTCGAATACAAACTCGAATTCCACCAAACTGTTTGAGTAGAGCCTATATGATGACAGCACGACCAGCTGTCGAAAGTGCTCGCATATAATTAAATGTGAGTTATAAAGCTTCAAATCATTTTTGTGACTTATATTGATATTAAAATACTGAAAATAAGGGAAAATTAGTTGCATTATTCAAAATAATGTTCATAAATAATATTAATAATGTAATTGATGCATTAATACATTTGTAACAGAATTTGATTGCATCTATATCTATTGTTCATAATGAAACTTCCATGAAATTTGGATAATTATGTTTTGTTTATTGCTATTCGATCGAAAAAAATGGTGTTGAAAATACTTTTAATACTAGTTTGGAAAATATTTTCAACACGCTACTTTGTAAACATCATCTTAGAAAAAATATAACCCCTTCAATCTCTTAATACTCTTGACAAAAATTAAAAATGTCACTTTCCATGACAAAAAAGTGCATGATTCAGCGTTCATATAATAGTATTCGTATAATAGTATTTTTTGAATTGAGATGGAGAATTAGAAGGCCAAAAACTTTCTTTCTCAAAAAATAAAATATCATATTGAATTTTCGATTGAAGGAAATACAGTTTATTTAGAAGTGAAAAAGATGAATATCTACATAATATCGTTGAAAAAAGTTTTCCAATTTTTTTTTGTTGATTTGGTGATGTGAATGATTGTTGATTTGGAAAATGGTTTATACAAAAATTGTAGATTTTTTTACATCCTGCAACTTTTTTATTCAACGTTTTTTTTAAAGGAGGTCTGTTGGAGAACTCTAAATATTTGTATCGCATGAAATAATGATCTCACCTGTATTCCAAATATTGGAAAAGGAAATATTCGGAAAGGTACACCAATGAATGCCATCGTGGGATGTTCGATATTTATAACATGTTTGTATAAGTATTTCACCCAATTGTTCTCGACTTCAATTCCACATTCTGGTGACAGGAAAGGATAAGAGTATTTATAACCTGTAAAAAAAAGGACTGAAGAATTTTCAAGTCCAGAATTGTTGAAATGATATTTCCGAAAGCAGTCGGATGAATAAATATTATGCTGTGTCAACAATTTTGATACCGACGTTTCGTTGAGGATTCTTATTTTCATCAGTGGTTTCATGTCAAAAAAATACCGGGAATTGGTCAATGAAACGCGAAATATGAATTTTTGATCCAAAGTAGATCTCTTTTGGAATAATACACACGCCAATGAATAACACAATCATCAAAACATTTTTGAACGTATTTTTTTAATCGACTTCAATATCTACTAGCTGCGAATTCTCTTTCATTTCTATCAACTGAAAAAGTGGTAACTTGAGTCTTGGAGAAAAAGCGGCCGGAGCCATATCAGGTGAATACGGTGACTGTTCGACAGGATTTGTTGAGTTTATAACCAATCAAAATGATAACCTTGTCAGATGGTGCATTAGCATGCTGCTAAATTCATCAGTTTTCCCAACACAATTCCTGTCTTATTCGACCGATTTGTTCTTTCAGACACCGTATTACGTTCAGATAATATTATTTATTTACTGCCTCAGCTTTTGGCAAGAACTCGAGTAACCAACATCGCGCTTATAACAAAAAATGTCAACATCACCTCCACTTTTGATCGACATTGACGAGCTTTTCTCGGTTTCGGCTCAGTTAGAAGGCGTCATTCCGAAGCTTGTTGACTGATTTGCATAACAAATTCGTGAAACCATGTCTCAATACCAGTTTCAATGTTATACATGTGAGGTCCGAATCGACTCGTTCTAACATGCCAGCGACCTTTACGCGATTGAGTTTTTGACACCAGTCGAGCTGCAACACTTTTCATCTAATCTAAAAAATCATTCAAAATGGTACTGCTACGTGTGTTGAATTATAATTGACTACACTGAATAATCAAACCTAACTTCATTTCACTTATTATTTGAATGCCTATGGTCTTACTAGATCACTTCGCGTACCGCACTGTAACTTCCACTTGACTTTGTAGATATGCTCGACGCTAGGTTTATGTATCGTAATCGAATGCAGTAGAAATTACTCCGAAGTTCCATAGAAATCGGTAACATTATTCTCGCAGCTTCTAGAGCGGCACGGAACATCGTACATTCGCGCGCTCTTAGCTACGTCACGATTGGTTTAGGGCTACCAGTGGCGGCCGGCGTTATTTTCTTTTGTGCATGATTTACAACAGTACGAACTGATTCAAGAGACGTAGAAATATCACCGTCTATCTCTATCGAACTTAAACGACGATATTCAGTTACCATTTCCTTTACTTGGGCAATAATGAGTTGGGTTGAGGCTGTTGATGGCCTGCTAGAGCGAGGCAAATCTTTTACCACATCCTGACCGCTTCTGAATGCACCACACATACGCACGTGTTTTTGATGAAGCAAATTCACCGTTAGTTTTATGAAACATTTACAGAGCTTCGGCACACAAAAATCCATTTGCAATGCAAAATTCAAGACAAAGTCTTTGTACGATACCGTGTGAGAATAGAGGTCAGTTTCGCCAACCTAGTTACAAAAATAATTTCGAAAACGCTTCACACTGGCTTTTTAAATGATCGACTCTGAACCAGAGGGCACCAAAATTTGTTTGTCGAGACCAAATATAATTAAGGGTATGGGTTAATGAAGACATAAAGAGTACTGGAAGAATACACTCGAGAACGAAATAATTGAGGGATCGCCTCAGAATAATAACGGCACTACTCACTCATGCACCTTTTAGCGTGCTCATAATTGTAACATCCCATTTTTCCACTGTTTGCGAAACAATCTGAACACAAAGAAACTCGAATATTACTGGAGTTTAATCCCAACATCTTCCTCTTGAAGATGATGACTAGGTGACTGAAACACGCGTCGAGGTGTTAAAAATAATGGTTTGGTGTTGGGATTAAACTCCAGTAATATTCATTACTTCACCAAACGTTCCAAACAGTGGATCTCAAGAACGAAGAAACCACTTTTTGCCAGTTTCAAATCGTAGATTGTAACATACCGATTATTTAAAATTTCTATTTTCTATTTTTTTAGATCTGTGATACTTCTGAGCAGTCTACAGTAGTATTCTTCACCTGTAGTAATTGGGTATACCTAAGTCCGGCTCCAAATCAAATCATCTGAAGGAACAATTCAATCAGGCCAGTTTTCACTTGCCTACACAGTAGGCTCATGGAATGACACCTATCAGAAAACAACTTCTCCCCTGGCCAATATCACGAAGGGCGTTGGATTATACCCGGCAGGTGTCAGTGCAGGATCCTTCACAGAAGTAATTTCTGTATATGCTTTTGGCGATACAACTGCCGGAATCCATTTTCTATTATTGGAACGGGCAGACTTGCAGACCGATGTCTGGCTATTTGGCCCTTCGTCAGCGCAAGGTATTTTTATTTATGAAAAATCATCCATGTAGGACACTACCTTGCACTGACGAGATGCCAAATAGCCCGAAACCTGTCTGCAAAGGTGCCTGTTTCAATAATTGAAAATCGATTCAGGCAGTTGTATCGTCAGAAGCATATGCAGGAATTTCTTTCGTGAAGAGCTCTGCACCTGTCGGATATAATCCAACTCTCTTCGTAGTATTGCCAGGGGAGTAGTTGTTTTCTGATAACTGTCAGAACATGAACCTACTGTGTAGGTAAGTGAACACTGGCCGGAACGAATTGTTACTTCAGATGATTTAGTACAGTATATCATAATCGGAATGCTGACACCTATACAAATTCCATATTATTCATTTTGATCATTTCTGTTCCTTGTATACTGTTATGTATACAAATTGACTTTAACAAGTACTCTTCTTCTTTTGTTCATTCATAGAGTTGTTTCTCATGGTGATTGACGTAGAGTGAATTTCGAAATGATACCGAACAATGTATGAAGGGAGACATTTTGAAAGGGTCTTTTTTGGGCCTGGCTTCGTATACGGAAAACGTTCTGCCAGGCAAGGTCATAACATCATACAAATGGTAGAATCGTAAAATCGCAAAATTATAAAAAAACATACGATCATGAAAAGTATAAGAACCAATAAAAATGGAATGAGTAGGGTGAAAATAATACTTCACAATTCACAAAACACTAACACGCTAATAGCAGTTTCGACACACATGTCATCTTCTGAGCAAGTTATAAACTAACCTAGGTATTTGATGTCATCTCTCCAAATACTAAAAGTTGCATTGGTAGGTGTGGTACCTAGAGAGAGGTATCAAAGGGCATTTGGGAAATTACTAATAACGTTATAAGTGATTATAAGTTATAGTTATAATTATACCATGATGAAAGGTAAGACCTCATTAACGCTCAGCTCAAACAGATTTCAAGCAGATTATTCATTTAGAAAACTCCTGAACAATATAGGGCTGTTAACAGAGACATCAATTGAAGGTACTGCAACACAGGTACGGCGACAGCTTTTTATATTGAATTCGAATGTGAGAAAGTGGACAACAGCAGAAATCAATTCATGGATAACCCAATAATATGACAAAAAAATCAAACGGAGAAATAGATGTTATTTGAAAATGGAACATCGAATAGTTTTCAGATTTTCTGTTCAAAGTTTTTTATTAGGTGCTGAATATGTTGATGAATGACCTGTTTCAATTTTATTTTCAATTTAGATGTGGTGCTGCAGGTTTTTCAGGGTTTTCCTGCAGCTGAAAAAGTAAATGCGTTACTGGAGTCAATCAAGTCGCCCCGGAACGCCAAATGATTTTCGTTGTAGTTTCATAATTTCCTAATTTGTACTACTTTTTTTGAAAAATAATTTAACTAAAGATTACTTAACAAATTAGTCACTACTCTAATTATATTTGTCGAATATTGCTAACAAAGAAACCCGTTGATGCACTTCTTGAACCTATAAAAAAATTTGGAATTTGATCAAAACCCCTACGGTTTAAAATAACTTAGGAACGCACCTATTTATTGATCTTCTGAAAACATCAGATAAACAAGCTTATCTTTGTGAGAGAAATTATTCTTCAGCTACTTCTTCTGGTCGCTTATTATGTCACAACTTTATCTACTGGATACTTTTTGCTTCAGTTTGTGAATAACACAAACTGAATTGAGAACTCTATTCGAAACATGTTTGAAATTGTTTCTGCTTGTTCTGAAAAAATCACAAATTCTGAACTTTTGAACTTTACGATACAAGCGAATACAGAGAACAAGCTAAAAAGGTCATCGTTTTCTCAACAAATAGGCTGATGAAAGTCTTACTTCAGTCCACTACTTTCTTGGGATTGGTAGACTTACTTAGAAACTTCAAATTATTAACTTTTTTTATTCTTAGTGTGTTCCTATACAATAATTGAAACAACTTTCCTTATCACATCGTATTACCTGTACAAAATATAACATCATCGATTTCTTCCTCTGATGCATCATGGAATATTACACTTCTTGGCTTGAACTGTCGTACTTCAGGTTTTATAGCAATTTCTTCGGATATCTTCCAAGACGGGTGCAACTCACTTCTATGAGATAATATTGTCTGAAATGTTTTATAAATGTTTATAATCTATGGTTTTCATGATAAATAAACATATTTTCAAAAACGAACAAACTCAATTATTTCTTCAGCTAGGAACATTTGCTGACAGCAGTGAAAAAAAGTATAATGTTGGGACGTTTTCAACTTTGGTTGGGATATTTCAATCAGGAGATGAAATGTACTGTCCAGGTGAGACCACAGAAAATTCAGTTCGGAAGCTTTCAATCTATGATGAGCAGTTTTCATGAGATATATATCTATATCAGTTTTTATGAGCTATCAGTTCCATCGGCTGGTCCTAAACAGAAGCCACGTTCATATTCGATATTCGTGGATTCAGCCTTCTGTCGATTCCACAGCTGACGTTTTCGCCTTATCTCATCCACCTTGTTCATCCCCAAGTCCTCAAAGAATTACCTGAACAAATCGAATTACAAATTGAGAAACACCAAGGTGCAACAATCTCTGTCACTTAAACAATATCAAAAGGTTACTACAGGTTTTATAGAATCACCTGAGTACGAAGCAGCAAAAATTGTTTATCAGAAAATTGAGGACAAGTAGGAAGTAAAGAATTTTTTTGACGATTCCACTACACTACAAGTTTTGTTACAGAAAATACCAAAACTATATTCCTTGTCCTCAGTAGGAAAGAGACAACGCAAACATCTTCCTGGAATGCACCGAGATCTAGGAATGAGAAAGATCATTTATCATTTTTATCTTTGATCAAACTTAGAATTAAAAATGTGACTGAGGTGGCTTCTCGATTCATTTTTAGGTACAAAACACAAGTACTACATCGCACACCGGCACCGCTCTCATAGCGGTGCCTGTGTGAAAGTAGTGATTCACATTGGATTTGAATCGCTGGAGATTAAATACATTTGGTAATCGTTCTCAGGAAGTTTATTCCACGTAAATGCAGTTCTCCAAATGGAAGAGTTCTTGAACAGTGAAGTTCGAAATGTATTCAGTTGGAACATATAACGATGAACAGACACAGTCCATCGCGTATTTCTGATATGTACCGCTCTTGGTTGAATCAAATGTGCCAAGCCACTTGAACACTTCCCGTGAAATTATCTATAGAAGAGAGACAAATCTCCAATCTTTCTTCAATGTTCCAGACTATCGAGGTTGCAAGTGATGTTCGCGTCTCCAATCAGATGTACGACTCTTTTCTGGATGGAATCCAGCAGCGTCAGAGTGTGCTTAGGGGCGGAGATCCATACATGAGAACAATACTCCAAGGAAGGTCTGAACTTTATAAAGCATCAAAAGTTGCTGAGGTGTGACAGTTTTCTGGTTCGGAACTGTTCCAAGCTTTTGAGAAGCAGCCTTCGCAAGTCCAGCGACATGATTCTGCCAAGGGTGACCATTTTAGGAGACATTTTAGGGTGTCCACCACATCTGGAAGAAAGCCTTACTCTCAACTAAAAATCGAAGCTCAGTCAAAATTTGAATAGTCAAAATTTCAACATACTCTAAATATTTTGAAGGTTATGATATCGGCCATTCTGCAAAAGAGAAAAATGTGAAATTTCAGACTTATTTTTGAAGAATCGTATTTATAGACAACAAATGAGACGAAAAAAATTGAAAAATATCAAGAATTTGATATTATTTCTCGGTTGAAACGTGTGGTTGAAACGAAATGGCAGAATATGTCCTCAAGTGTAGAACAGTTGTCAAAGAATAATGGTCTACTGGGAATTTTCAATACTTTTTGACGGAATATTACGTGACTGATGGAAAATTTCAAATAATGCAAGTGGTAATGTAGCAGTTGATACAATTAGTATCTCATGATATACATATGACAAAAATTACACTGTTGATATGGTGAAGGAGTGGTGCAAGAAGTGCCCTTTATAGGATTCAATAAAAATAATCAACTATACGATTCTAAAGACTTGCACCTCAAAAATTTTTCATGAGATTAATTTAAAATAATGTCTAGGGAAATTATGAGACCACGTACGAAAGTTCTAAACAGTATCATAAAGAGCAGCATTGACAAAGGCCTTTTGAACTTTGAATTTCACCCTAGGTTATGATGTTTGGTTTCACCAATAACGAAAGAATGAGGAAAACATTTGGAAAAATATGATTAGATTCAAATTATCTAGTAGAAGATCAGTCAGAGCGAGTTCATATCGATCATAATTAAAAAATGTATGGAGGTCACCTTATAAATGGTCACCTCATACATGTGTTACATGGCCACATTAAAAAAAATGATTACCTTATCTGCCACAGAAGATACAAGTTTGGCAATATCTATTCCTGATGGTCCAGATCCAATGATCAAAACTGTTTTGTTCTTGTATGATTTCGGATTCCTGTAATCGTGACTATGGATAACAGATCCTTGAAAGCTAGTTATTCCTTCCAGTTTGGGAACAGAAGGTACAGAGTAGTTACCAACACACACAAAAACAGCATCGTATTCATTTTTTATGTTTTCCCGAGTTTTGAGATCGGTTAGTTCAAGATTCCACCTTTTATCGTTAGAAGGTATAACCTTCTCCACGTGATGATAAAACTAAAAAAAAAAAAGAGAAATGTTTAGTCATTTATAATATTGTACCATGAACCTAGTTGATAGAATATAATTATTACAGTGAGTAAATCTATTTGATTTGATTGGTGAATTCAAGCTATAGAAATTTTCAGGTTATTACTGTGTACTCTGTTTATTTTAAATGATTCGTCTATTGCTCTCGCGAAAACGGTAAGACCTACAAGGTCGGTTGAATTGGAAAAAGTTTCGAACTTCGGAGAATCAGAATAATATCTCTTTTCAGGTGAAAAATATCAGTAGTTGTTTTTGAAACAAATACTATAATAGTCTATTTTCATTTTGGCTCTACGTCCCCATATGAAAAAAGGCTGTTCCATATTTATTTGTTTTATCATGATATTAACCAAATTGCAATATAACGTTTCGTTCATTAGATTTTATCATTAATTTTAGATTTTTGAACACTGACCTCTAGTTTTTTCATTGAAAGTTTCTCTCCTTTTTTTATATTATATCATCTTGAGTTATTTCTCGAAAGCCGTCTGTAACCCGAGGGTTTATTGGTTGAAAAATTCACACTTTCACTTGAGAATAAATCAAAAAATATTGGCATTAAAAAAAACAGAAGTTGTTTCGAATTAGTCGATGTATCCATTCCCGTACTTTTCAATCCAATAACCTCCCCTGGAGAAGGGGTGTCCTCCACCCGCAGGATAAAATCAACCTCCGTTACAGGATCAACTTTGAAATAGAGGGCGAGTAGAATATAAATCCACAATTTTTGTATTGAATGAAAAAATCACTCACCTTAATGAATTGCAGTAAATTGAAAGCCTCAGCATACTCATTAATATAGTTCAGCACTTCGGTTTGTGATATATAAGAATGTTCAGGTTTTTTGTGAGGAAAGTCTTCAAATTGCATCAGCTCCTTGGGTAGATTTGTGCTGCAAAAAACAGTTTTTTTTTCAGAAAACTCGTAAAATGTCAGGTTATTTCCGGCGTGAATGTCCTTTTCCAAAACGGAAAATTGAACTGGTAAAGGAATATTTCTTTGTATGTATTATCAGATTACCGGTTGAAGAGGTGAAAACCATAGGAAATATTATTCAGTCTAAGAACCCAATCCATGTAGGACTGAAACTGATTTATGAATTACCATCAATTTATAAATGGTTAGAATAAGCAAGGGGCTACAGAGTTGAAGAATTTGACTAAACTACGTTGTTGAAACCTGTTTTTCTGCATCAATCTTTTTATACGGATGAATATTTCAGCTGTTCACAATGAGAGAGATTGATGTGAGATACCTGGGAATTGCGGTGGACTCTGGATTACTGTTCATAGACAAGGATGTTAGGAGAAAACTGAGAAGGTGGACGGGGTGCAAGTGTGGGGGAGTATAGTCTACGACAGAGTAGAGTCAGGAGACAGCTGAGTGTAGCACAGAGACGGCTGCACTAAGCGAGATTTCAGGTATAGCCCCACTTCATATTGAAGTTAGTTCTAGATACCATTAATGGAAAATGAACGGTACGGTGAAAGGACGATTGGTGACAGAATGAAAGAGGAGACAAGATACTTCCCTGGATGCAAGGGTTGTTGCTAGAGGAAGAGATGCCGGATGAAGGAATGACTGAAGAGTACGTGGACGCCGGTGTGAGAGCAGTGTGAATGAAGCAGAACTGGTCGCTATAGAACGAGCGATTGGAATCTGGAGCATGAATGAGAATGTCAGAGTAGTCAGTGACTCTGCTATAGCGGTGGAACTGATGAAGACAGTACGAGTGAAGAATAAAAAAATAGCTCTGATTCAGCGATAGATTGAGGAAAGGAATATAGTGGAGCATGGACCGAAGTCGTCTGGCGGAAGGGGTACTATGATGGGAATCCTGATAATGAAAAAGCGCGCCTTGAGGCCAATAAAGGGATGAATGAAGGCAATGAAATATTTATGGGAAGTTAGGCGAATGAGTAGTAAGGGAGAGGAGTGGAAGAGGATTAAGGAAAGTATCACGGTAGAATGCCAGAGAGAATGGGAAAACGGTATGACTGGGCGACTGCTTTTCAGATTCTGTAGAGCAGTCGGGTATGAATCATTGAACCTGTCGAGGAAGGCAGTCCAACTATTCACTGGGTACGGTAATTTTCCGGGATACCTGGCCAGGTTTAACTTGGGTCCGGAGGTACCCTGTCCATGTCGATGGGGGGTGCCTGAAATGGCAGAGCATGTGAGTGAGATATGTATGGACGGAGATAAAGTTGGGTGGCGAAATTGGAAAGAACGGCTGGAACGAGAAAAGGGAGTACCTAATGCAAATGAGGGACACGAATGGAAAGAAACATGAATGGATACTAGTTGCAAACGAATGAGTAGAGAGTGTGGTGAGGGATGAATGTGACGGATGAGAGGCAAGCTACCAGCTCGCCTTCCCAATCTGGACAGAACATGTCCAAGGCACACTGTACGGCGTTGTGGACGTCAAATGTATAGGTTTTCTGGGATACATTGTAATTAACAAACTGAATCCAATAATTGATGAATAATGAAAAATTAATAATTTATGTTTTTTGGACTTAATGTACCTAGAAAGATCAGAATTTTCGTTATTATTTTTGTGGTTGTTTCCTCTTTGGTTTAGGAAATGTAATATTTATCATATAGTAGTAATAATTAGAAAAAGTTAATTTAATTTTGTATATACAGGAATTGTAATTTGACTTGAATTGAGTTGGGTCTTCTGCCCCTGCTGGTTCGTTCCTTCGTGTGATCGACGTTAAGCGTCGGCGGTACGAGTGGGGGGGGTGAGTTTGGAGGAGTTGGGGTTCTCTTGACAGTGGTGGCGCTAGACAGAGGAAGACGCCCAGTTGAAAGGCTTACGAGCTAGAGCAACAAAGAGCTACGTCATTAGTTGGCAAAACATCAATTTCGAAAGCGAAAAGAGAAGTAACAAATATTTTGTTGATATCAGATTTCTAAAGCAGTCTGTACGTTTGTCTTCGGTTCATTAAAAATGATTAATTTCAAGGAGAGACGTTTAATTGAGATACGGAAGCGTTTATCAGTCCTACCTATTGGCGATCCATACCGGGAGCCTTTTTAGTTCCTGGCTCCTTGTGGGCAGTCGTGAGCTGTCGCCATATACGTTCTCACAGTCAACACAAACCTTGGCGATAGAAACGTCAACGATCAAGAATGGGATGGATAAAGTTGCGAAATCTACGTTGAGCACCTTGCAAAATCCCATCCAACTTTTTACGACTTTATTTTGGTCCTCATAAATGTCGAGACTTTTATCCCAAAGACCGGGTTGATTGCAGACGGTACTGATTAACAGCTCCATATCGTAATCTCCCATTATAAATAGTGTGAAGTGTCAATTAGGGAGAGCCGTTTTCACTCCTCGTTTGGAAGCCTCCACTCATCCTTTTGCATTTTAAGGAGAAGACGTGGTTCCTCGGATCAAGGTGCAGGAGAGCTCTCACGTGGGGGTATCCGCTCTTCGTATGAAAGCTCCATTGGATTCGTTGCATTTTGACGCTAAGAGCCTTCCTATCTCTCGGGAGCGAGGAAAGTGAAGCTCTTCGTGTGGAAGAGCGCTTATATTAATGATGAATGGAATCCAACATCTTAAAAAACATAGAAGTAGTATCTTATTCCAACAATGTGAGCAGGACCATGCTTCTGCTTCGAAGTGTGAGTCGTAGATTGAACTACGCGTTCAGTACTATTGGAATACATTTAGTCTCCCTTTATACTTTGATGAAACAACTTTAATATTACTGAACTGTGAACGTGAAACATAAAATGAATATGTTTTGACCAACCAGTTAAAAGAAACTAGCCATTCAGAAATGGCAGATCACATCTTTGTCTACAATATATTTACGAATGTTTTCCTCCATCGGATACGTCATACGCATATTGAAATCAATTTTTCTTATGGAAATTTCGTCAAATCATTATTACCTACCAATCAAGCCCCTTTAGTCTTGTGTTAGTTATTACATATAAAGAAAATATATGGTATTGACGTGATTTTGTACTTCTAGTCACTCAACATCAACTTTTCACCAAACAGATATATAAAATTGTATCTGAGGTTTTTCAAATATTCATACTGTGAGTTTCATCATTGATTGCTTCATATAGTTTTGAAAACATCCGCGAATTTGACTCCGGTGATTTCCTATCGAGTCATTCATAATATCTTGACTAGAATAATAAAATTCCTGGTCACATCTATCTTAACGCGATATATTCAAAAACTCTGACTCACAATTTGTACTTGAGAGCATATAATTTTCTGTAGGATTACTTAGAGTCAATGGTAGGTATGTGACACTTCATTTTGATAATACATCAAATAGGCTAAGGCCCATTAGAAGGAGTATACAATAATAGAGAAGGTAACTATTTCTAGATAAATTGAAGTATCAGTGAACATTTTGATACTCAATTAGGAAGTAATCTATACAACTTATTTCTAAATTGATTCAGAACTGGTACGGATTTGATATTTGAGCATTAGTCATAATTTTACATTTTTCAACATCATGAAAGAGTTTTTTTCCATTACACCACTTTTGAAGTGAGTTCTATTCCTTCTGGAGCAACATACAATCGGATGAATCACGTATTTATCTGAAAAGCTTCATATCATCGGCAAAAATCAGCTTGGTTGATTGTATCAAATCGCATGTATCATCTATGAAAGGTTAAAATAACAGCAGCCTCAAATTAGATCTTTGGGGAATCCCCGACTGTGCGAAAAATACCTTCATACTTGATATATAGACTATGATTATTCAAATACGATCTTAGATTTTGTATTTTTGTTAATTGTTGATGAAAAACTCTATCGAATGCCTTACTAAAATTTGTATAGATTGCATCAACTTGACATCTATCATCCAAATAGTTGGATATGAATTGAGTAAAGATGCTGAGATTCGATACAGCTTCTCTCATTTCCATTAAGCCATGTAGAAATTCTGATATCGAATTCGTTACATAAATCTCAAAAAGTTTGGAGAATACAAAGATGAGTGCAATCGGTTAGAGTTAGAGATTTCCTTTTTCTTTCCTGAATTCTGATACTTTCGTGATACTTTCCACTCCTCTAGAGTGGAGTGGTTTCCACTCCTCTGGAGTGGAAAGTATCACGTGGCGTATTCAACATGGCGTTGAAGACAATGATTAGAGAATACTTCATAATATTGATATATTTTTTGACAAGTTGGCAAGGTATATTATCCGGGCCACATGTTAGTCTGTCTAGAGGCTGCATTAAGTATATTTTCTACCGATATCTATATTTGATTAATCAATTATGGAATTTGAGGATATTATTCTCATTATAATTCTGACACATGATATGACAACTGACTGGCTAAAAGAAAGTTTTTCACCACTATAGTTTTTTGTGCGTTGACTGTACATATAACCAGAATCCTTGCAAATTACTTTTTGAGAACTTCTAATGAATTTTTCATAATTTTCGTCAATCCGTTTTTGTTGGTTTTCGAACTTTTGCAAATGAAAAAGTAGGTGATGTATTACATAATTTATAGTTCCACTCCATTACTTGATCGAAATGCTACAACATATCGTTGATAATATAGAAATAAAGTACTTTTTAGAAGAACTTGAATTGTTCATTTTGTACCTACCTCAAGCCTTCATACATAGATGAGTGAATTGGTAATCCAAATTCATCTTTGCCTGTTTTATCAGTGTAGTTCCAAGTACCTCCAATACTTCCAGTCTTTTCGAATACGTCACAGGAATGTCCATGGTCTAAACTATGTCTTAGAGCTGTGAGACCAGCTGCACCAGCTCCTATAATTGCTATTCTCATCCCTGGATGAAATGTAAAAACGAACTGAGATTGCAAAGTGGAAAAATTATCTTATCATATCGCTAACCAAATATCATGTGTTTATTGAAATAATATGATTGTGTGATGAAAAAAAACAGAAATTATATCTCTATACTACTCTGTTAAAAAAAATAAGGTTAATTTTCATTTATTTCAAAAAGTATTATTCATTTATTCATCAATTTCTATTTTGTCCCCTTTGAAGTAGTCCCCCTCAGATTTGATAATAATAATAATAATAGTCTTTATTGTTTCCCAGCTGTAGTTACATACAAATATTTAAATAAATTACAGAGCCAGTTGCTGATATAACAAAAGGTGAAGTTCAACTGAGTTGGAAAACACTTGTGCAGCGTGTTTCTCAATTCTCGAAGCAGTTCTGATATGCACTTTTCAGTTTGTTCTTCAGCTCTCTCAGCAATACGGTTATCCCCCTAATCGTCACAAAACGCTGTCCTTTCGTAAGTATCTTCAATTTTGAGAACAGAAAAAAGTTGCAGGACGCCGAATCTGGTGAATACGGTGGCTGAGGTATGATTACGGTGTTGTTTTTGATGCAAAAGCCATGCTTTGTTTTTCCACAATATCGGACGTTTTCTTCGTACTTATTGCTTGTTACAAGCAGCGTATAACTTTAAGATAATACTCCTAATTGACTGTATGATAATGTGGCAAGAACTTCTGATGTACCACGCCAAAGTAATCGAAGAAAACATTGAGCAAAACCTTCCAATGGGACGAATGGACTTTGGTTTCGATGTCATAACCATATACCGATGATACGTCAACAGTTATGACCCTTTTAAACAAATCTGGTTCGTCGTTGACGTAATTGGACAATTCCTGAGCGATGCTCATGCGACGATGCAATTTTGAAACGAACTTCACTGCCACAGGGTTCATGTCCAAAATTTACGAAGAAAATGCATGGTATGAGCCAACCGATATGTCGACATCCTCAGCCACTTCTCAAATAGTGATTCGACGATTGCCCATAACAATTTTCTTCCCTTTCTCATTATTTTCCTCGGTTGTTGATGTCCTGGGGCGAGCATTATCATTCCTAAGTGTCGCGGGAGCCATGACAACGACCCCAACTGCAGCACTTGGGGTCCTACTGGGACGGGGTCCACCATCGCACATCTACACACAAAGAGAAGCTCGACTGGTGACACACAGGCTAATGAGGGGGCAAACCCCAATCAGCCAGTCACAAGGTGCAGAATACTAGAAACTGTACAATGAACTGAAGGCAGATCCAATACCAGGAATGCCCGTGGATAACACAGTTTCGCAGTAAAACCTTCAAAAAGATTTCAAAAGCATCATACCAAGTAGAGAGGACTGGCAAAACGGCCCACCGGTAAAAGCGGAGGAAACTTGGTATACAGATGGCTCAAAGATCCAAGAAGGAGTGGGAGCCGGTATATACGGAGGCAGAGTAAAGATGAGAATCGCACTCAGCCTCGGACATAATGCAACTGTGTTCCAGGAAGAAGTAGCGGCCATCGAACACTATTTCTCCTATACAGTTTCGATGGTCGCTACTTCTGCCTGGAACACAGTTGCATTATACTATACAAACAGGCAGAAGGTTACAAATAAAACCATTGCCATTTTCTCCGACAGCCAGGCGGCAATTAAGGCGCTAAGCTCATTTTAGGTATTCTCAAGAAGGCACTCTCAAATGACCACCATAAGAGTATCGGGATCCTGACGAAGGAAAATGGCGACAAAGCCGCCAACCTCCAGGAGAGTGCTGAGATTCTTATGGAAACTCACTTCCCAGGTTCTGTCTTTCCTGGAACGACGAACTGGACGGATGTACCAACAACACTCTCACGATACATCTGGCAATCTGCTAGTGCAGTAATTGATGAGGACAAAATAAGATGGGCTATATCGGACTTTTCCCCCTTCAAGTCACTAGGACCTGATGGTATGAGACCAGCCCTACTTAAGTGAGGACTGGACACTCTAATGCCGCACCTGGTTGGAATATTCAGAGCCTCTCTAGCTCTGAGGCATATTCCCAGTAAGTGGAAAGAAGTGCGAGTAGTATTTATACCCAAACCAGGTAGGATGGACTACACCCTACCAAAAGCATTCCAACCAATTAGTCTCACATCGTTTTTCTTAAAAATTATGGAGAAGCAATGTGAGCGGTACATAAGAGATGAAGTGCTAGTTCACAACACACTTAATCCAAATCAGCATGCATATACTCCGGGAAGGCCTGCTGATTCGGCCCTTCATCATGTGGTTGGCAGAATCGACAGATCATTGGACAACAAAGAATCCACCCTGGGTATATTCATAGATATCGAGGAAGCGTTTGATAAAACAACCTTTCCAACAATCACCCAGCAACTACACTCCAGGAATGTACCCCTGGTAGTGGGAGGATGGATAACCAAGATGCTATCTAGTAGAGCAATAAGTATTAATGTAGAAGACATCACAGTGAAAGAATTGGTCATGAGGGGATGTCCACAGGGAGTACTATCCTCGTACAGGAGGCTAACATGGAACTCTCATCTACAGAGTAGAGCAAAAAGAGCATATGTGGCTTATGAGCAATGCCGGAGGATAGTGGGACGCGCATGGATCACCTGAATCTACACTGCAATAATAAGACCTATGTTAACGTATGGAGCCATTGCATGGGGACCGAAAGTTCTACAAGCAACGGTCATCCAAAAGCGACTGGCTTGTTTAAACATCACAGGAGCCATGAGAACAACACCAACCGCGGCAATGGAATTAATCACGGGTCTGACCCCTCTGGATCTGTACGTTAAGGAGGTTGCGTCAATGGCCATGGTACGATTGCGCACGGCTGGTGTAAAGTTTGAAGTAGGAATGGGTCAATTGAGGCTGGGCCTATAGCAGGAAGCGATTACTGCGCAACCTCTGCTGCAGGCAACAAGCGATGCAATTGAACCTAGGTTTGTGTTTAATAAACCCTACAAAATACAAATTAAGCAGAACTCAGAGTAGGATGATACAAATGCAATACGGATTTATACAGCCGTCTCAAAAACTAAAGAAGACTCATGTTGTGGAGTGTACTCCAGCTCACTAAGCCTAAGAATTAAGTGGGGAATGGGAAGAAATACCAGCGTGGTCCAAACAGAACTGGCTGGTATCTCAATCGCCACAAAAGAAATAACCAAGAAAGGAATTTCTGGCAAAAACATAACAATCTGCATTGACAGCAGACAAGCCCTATCAGCCTTGAACAGACAACGTATAACCTCAGGGCTAGTACTAAAGTGTCACCAAGATTTAGCCAAAGCCTCGGTAGATGAAAACATTATCCTGAAGTGGGTTAAAGAGCATGACAGGAGTAAAGGTAATCGCATTGCCGACTCTTTAGCCAAGGAAGCGGCTGGATTAAGAATTTTAGTGGCACCTACGGCTTGATGACTTCGACAATTGCAGAACTAGTCAAATGTTACACTCATGGTCAATCCTTAAAGAGATGGAATGGAATCAAAGGATGTAATCTTGCCAGGATCACTTTGGGCCAACCTGGGAAGCTGGCGCCGAAAAAATATCTGGCTATGACCAGGAAAAATCTACGTCTAATAGTAGGATTTCTGACTGTCCACTGTCAACTAAGGAAACACCTCCATAATATGGGGCTAGTGGACACACCTCTATGCAGGATGTGTGATCAGGAAGATGAGACTGTCAGGCATGTCCTATGCGAGTGCCCGGAGTTATCGTCAATAAGAGAGTGTGTGTTCGGCGAGTCTTGGCCTACACCTGCCGATATAAAGGAGATGTCTCCCAGTGACCTGTTCACCTTCCTGGAGGACAGGATAAACGATGACCTAGGAGGACAACTCCACAGCAGCATGTACAATGGGTCACATGTGGCCTAAGTGCTGTGGGCTTACACTCACCCTCCCTACTCTACAGATACAGAGTCGGTCGGTCGTTAGCCAAGCGGTTCGGCGTGTGTGCTTTTTTCACTCACTCGAATTGACTGGTCGGTGGTTCAAGCCCTAGTCTGAACGATCGATCTTCACTTGCTATCGTCCAACCCGTCCAGAGAAGTATTCTAAAGACTGGTGGGAAGCTGTCTGAGAGCACTCAAAGAGCTAAGTACCCAAAATAGGTTCACTCTAGCTTGGGTACCCGGCCATGAGGTTCACAAGGGCAATGAGGAGGACGAGGTTCTAGCCCGTGAAGGCGCATCCAAAGTTGATCGGTCAAGAACCCTTGTGCGGGGTAGCAAAAGCATGTATAAAGATACCCATAAACTCATGGATGCAAGCCGAATCCATAGATTGGTGTAATAAGCTCCCGGGAATGAGGCAGGCGAAAAAGTTCATAGGGAAACCGTCGCCCAAATACACGGAAGATCTGCTCAACCACAACCGTAAGGTTGTAAGCCTAGTGGTGGGTCTACTAACGGGGCATAGCTGACTCAGGAAACATATGCAACATGGGTCTGACAGATGAAACTCAATGCAGTTTCTGTCAAGATGAGGAAGAAACCGCACTGCAGGTGATCTGTAAATGCGATGCGATAGCAAGGCTGAGACACACAAGACGCGGGAAAGAGAAACCAGCGGCTATCCAGCTATATGAAGGAGTCAGTGTCAAGGCTATGGAGTCTCATCAAAGGGATCAAGCTAGACAATGAGCATCACAATAGATCTGAAAAGACCGCAGTGAATCAGACCAGGGGCCAGCTCCCCGACAATCTAATCTAAATCGTTATTCACATCTTCTCGATCTTCTGTGAAAAGTCTGTACCTGTAACATTTTTCTGACTCAGAGTACAATTACCATATGCCACTGTCAACATTTCAGGTGATTTTTCACTCAATTCCAGAGCTTACAGAAAACTTGAATATTACTGGAGTTTTTTCCCAACACCAAATCGTTATTTTTACACCTCGACACGTGTTTCGATCACCAAGTGATCATCTTTAAAATAACGATTTGGTGTTGGGAAAAAACTCCAGTAATATTCATTACTACACCAAAGGTTCCAAACAGTATATCACAAGAAAACTTGATGCAAATTCTTTGATCAATTATTTTCGAATACGCAAAAACGAGACGAGTGTACAACATAAAAAAATCGTTAATTGAATGTACGTAGTCCGCGAAATTTGAAAATTTACCTTATTTTTTGAACTGCTCATCTATATCTTGATTCAAACCTAACAAATGCAACATAAAAAATCAACTTTGTCTTGCCAATTGAAATAGTCAATTTGATTTCATAAATTATCGTAAATTTACCTAACTTGGCAACAGCGCCAACGCTACACGTTACGTGTCGAACTTTCTTCCTGGCAGTGAATTTATTTTTGGTTATGTTAGTGCTCTGTGGCGTTTGAGTAATATTTGTGAATGAATATAGCACAATATAAAAATGGACAGCAATTCGTAGATAAAATGTTTTGTGAAGTAATTTATAGAAAATAAATTTGTGTAGCTTTATGTGTTAAACACTTACTAGCAATTCGTCCATTGATGTTAATAACACGATGAAGGATTTAATTTAACTTAATAACTCAACAGATCACTGAAAGAACGCATGCGCATTGTGATGTAGTTGTTCGTAATCTTCTATTTATTTAGTCTCATACATTATTTCATTTATTTTCATACTTTATAGAAATCTGGGTAGGTTCCTTGTTATACATTAGGCTTTATAGCTCCCACACACTGTCAAAATGTTTTTACAAAATATTGAATATGGCTTTTTTATACAGGTAGGTATATTGAGAGTATGAGGGGACGTATTTTCATGAATACCAGGTCTACAAGAAAAATAAAATGAATGTTCTATTTGTTCACCTAGCATTTTGTTTTTTCTATCAAAACAACTGTGAAATTTTTCTTGGGTGAAAGTTATTATTTCTTCATCAATTTTTCTCTCATGAACAAGCTGATTTGATACTACAACAGAAAAAAATGTAGGCCTATACGAGTATGTTATACTATCTGTGCAAAGTGAGGTTAGTTTGCAAGTACATAATTGAAACCTGATTTATGAATGTGTACTAGAAAAACTATCCAATAAAACTAAATGTGAGACATAATATTAAAAAATTTATTAGTAAATTTCTACAAAGTTTTCATCGTCAACTAATTTATATGAACTATCTATTTGACCAACTCTTTCTGTTTGTATGTGCTTGAAAAGTTTGTTGAGGACTGGTCTGATTTTTTCGATTCCCGCTGTTTCTGCTAAGTCATCGAGATATTCAACAACTTGGTCCAGAGTCAACTCATGAGCATAACGATTCGTAGGTTTTCGAACACTCTCCACATTTTTCAGTACGTCTTTCATCATTTCATCCCTGGTTGTATTGATTTTTCCTTCTAATAGGGCAAGAAAAAACTTCACCTGAAATGTTTCATAAATGAATTGGTTGCCATCCATACAATTATCATTTCTTAACATATAAAGATACACAGGTACATGAAGAAATGATTGATATGTACGACGTAGAGGAACATAATAGATTTCAGATGTCCAACTGCATTTCATAACCAAAATATACACGAAAAATTGTCCAATTTACCAGTTTAATTAACATGAATCTATTAATATCCAGCATTTTTATATATTAGTAGTTACATGAGTGATGTGTTTGTGGTTTTCGGCCCTCTGCCATTATCCGCTGACTCAACAATGTCTCTGACCTAGGAGGAGGACAACTCCATGGGAGCATGTACAATGGGTCACATGTGGCCTAAGTACTGTGGGCTTACACTCCCCCTCCCTACTCTACAGATACAGATGCAAGGAAATCCTTTAGTTGCTTTACACTTTGATGTCATACAATGAACGTGTCATCAACGTAACGTATTCAAAAATATGGTTTCACAGTAGCCCAAATCTGCAAACTTTCTGTCTGACAATCAAGTCCAGGCGTAAGTTTCATTTTTGAGATAGAGATCCATATTTTTCAGCTAGTGCACCAGAACAGATATAATAAACTGAAATGGATGATAAACGTGATGATGATAAACCAACGGATGATAAACCAACTAAAAAAAAAAGTAAACATTATTTGAAGTGTCTTCTCGTTCAAGTCAGAGTAGTAAAATGGTGTTTCCTGATGTTCATCATCGAATCCTGCTATTCAGAAAGAAGTTGCAAGTTGAAAGTTGAATTGCCATTGCAAAATGGAAACTGGAAAAGGAAACTTTGCCACACCACTCAAAGACTGAAAGATATCAAATGCTTCCATCTGATTTATCTGAACTTGTCCATAGGTACATGAAGCATCCATATTTTTAATGTGAGCGAAACCTTTATATTCAAAGCTCGAAACCGTACCACTTTCGATTTTTCTCGATATTCCAACGTGTTGGAAGCTACCACACGATATTACCGCACAATATAACTGCAGTCAAGGAAAGTTCTGCTGGATACAAAGGTTTGTATCAGCATTGGAAATGGTGTTTCTGAGCTTATGGTTTAATGCAACTTGCCTTAACTTTACCAATCTTAGAAGAATAATAATGAAATTCTTGAGATAAGACGTTCAACATTATGCTTCCTTTGATCTGAATTGTGTGCTTTTGCAAGAAATGCTGGTACACATGAACAATGCATCTACCAAATCGATCAAAATTTCAAATTGAGATCCAGATATTTGAGTCTTTCGTGATGTGTGATATGATGTCAATAACAGATGTTAGGAGTCTGTGAAAAGCATACGAACGTGGAAAACTTGCAGAACATTATCGGATGACGACAATCCAATCTTCAGCCATAAGACAACTCAGTACCTTTTAATGATAAGAATGACTACTTTCAGGAAGATGAATAATTGAGGCCATGCAAATTGACAAATTGAACTGAAATGCTAGTCTAAATTTGTAGTCTGGTTTGCTTAAAATTACAATATGGGAATCTCAGTCTGCATCTTCGCAAATTTAAAAATATAGTCAACAATTTTTTCTGGCGCTATTTCGGTTGTCTGGCACAATTCCTTACGATTATATATCTTGTAGCCAGAGAGATTATTCCTAAACAATAAAAGAAAATTTTTTGCTTGGCAAAGTGATTGTGTTACTATAGACTTCAGCATGAACTATAACTGAGCTGTCGGTCTCTAAATCAACCTACTGTTTCTATGTATAGTTGAAAATTTCAGACTGTGCCTCACGTGAAAGATACTTTTTTCCATGTCAATGAAATAGAAAATGTAATAGATGGCTTTGCAAGCTAGAATTAAAGTAAAGGTTTTTCTCAACCTCAGCAAACATGAAAAGGAGTTTGGTGTAAAATTTGTACAAACTTACTAAGCTACAAGCAATGGAAAGTCTCAAAGTGATAGAGATGGTGGAACATTGAAGAGAAAGGGTAGAAGAGCGACCCTTTGACAACCAAATTCTGACGGCTTCCGATTTGCTCAAGTTCTCAGAAAGCCATAACCTGATGATAATTGAAGTTTTCCAAATATAGGAGTTCATATAATGGAAAAAATATTGGTAAACTCAAATGATTTATTTTCATTTCTAATTTTTAGATACGATAATAGCTTGTTGACGCATATCCAATGAGCAACATTAGCCCCCGTCGCACATTTCCTTCTACGGAAGCCTGCAAAGGTCTCTAATTTCACTGACGTTAATATGGCAACAGGGAGGCTGATGTGGCCGTATTAATGCCAAAACGAAAAAGTTTTTCTCACCGCACCGAAAGTCTTCATACATTTTATGTAATGAAGGAGCAAAAATATAAAGAATTGTTGATCATTCTCAAAATTATCCTATTTTGGAGGGGTGTGCTGATCAGAAGAGGAATAGATGTATCCGATGTGACGATGAGGCTGAAAGATTCTGGGAAAGGGGACAAATGGAGTCGAAAGCCTCACCTTGGAAAAAAAGTTGTACTTCGTATTTAGATAAATAACATACGACCTTTAGGGTTTCTTCTGGAAATTCCCTCAGTCTGTACCTTTGCAAATATTCAAAAACAGTCAAAATTTCCTTCTTCCGACGTTTCGTCAGTTCCAACACAATAATGAATAGTGTTGTCGACTGCTAAGTGTTAAATTTGGATATCTCGTGAAATTTTACACTATGACTGAATACTTTGATACTTTCTGGAGGAGAGGAAATGATAAATATGCAGAAGGTACACTTCTGCAGAAAGAGGAAAAACAATTACTAACTTTGTAGTTTACTATCCCGAAAACTGGAAGTCTCATAGTGTGACGTGGGTGCTGAAGGCTTCTTGTTTTCTGAATGAGAATGAATGAGAGGGATGTCTCTCAAACAAAAATTCCTCGGTTTTCCCAAACTAAACCGACATCAGAATTGGATTCTTTGATGAAATTTTATCTAGGGTACCTACTAAATTTAAGCCTTCAGCAATGAATTTTTGTTGAAATATAACAATGCCCACAAATAAGACAAACTCAAAATTGACTTGAAGGAGATCCTTGGAAAGGAGATCTTTGTTTTGTCAAAATTTATGAGAAAATGTCTTTATATGTGACAGAATACCATGTCATAAGGGTTTAAATATTTCATGCAAGTTTCTTTTTGTCAGTGTTATTTTCAAAATATTTCATTTCTCAAATAATATTGCTTGAAGCACACATAAATATTCCTTCTCAATCTCAAATTGTTGAAGGAACTAAGCAATCTCAATAGTAAAGAGAGAATAGACAGATTTCACCTTCATTTATTTTTTCAACAAATATACCAGACGAGCACTACCTTACCTGTAATCCAAATATGGCAAATGGAAATATCCGAAAGGGTATTCCAAGGAATGCCATTGTGGGATGTTCAATATTTATTATATGTTTGTATAAATATTTCACCCAGTTTTCCTCTACTTCTATTCCACATTCTGGCGAAAGGAAAGGGTAAGTATAAAGATAACCTGAAACAAAAAAGTCGGGTTATGGAAACTATCGTAATAAAGAGTGATTGATGTATCAATTTTATTAAGTATTTTTAGGAAAACTGGATAGACAGTCTGGAAATTTGAAAAGAAGATTTAAAAACAATTCTATATAAAAAAAGTCTCAAAAAGTATTACTGGTACAACACCCAAATTTTGAAATTGGAAATTTAGGCTTGTGATATATCTTTTGAAAGGTCTCTTCATTCTCTATTCAAAAATGCTATAGCTTCAACTCAATTGCAACAATTAGGATAAAATAAATTAAAATCATGTGGTTACCAAAATTCGATAAAATACGCTCAAAACTTATTGCAATAAACTCAAAACTTGTTGAAGTTCCTACTGATAATAAGAAAGTAAGCAAAAACCATAGCAAGGTTAATGAATTGATGGATGTAGCCGTTGCTACGTAGTAGGAAATCATAAGTTTCAATTCTCTTTTCTTCATAGCAATGTTCTTTTTAGATGGTATCCTTTAAAAATCTGAAAATAATTTCCGTGGTCACGTTAGTTTGAAATGCCTTGTCAACTGCTTTTGTATGTTACAACATTACTTGTCAGTATTTCAATTGAAGGTTGAAGTTCCTTAACTTCAAGTCTGACAAATGGTTATATTAACGGAAATGCATACCTGAAATAACAGTTTTACTAATGATTGGTTACGGATATAACACCCGAACACAACAGGAAGTAGCTCACCTATTTCATGTGAAATTTTCTAATTTACCGCCCATATCTCAAGGAACAATAAGTGAAATAGAGAATCAGTTTCGCAAGCTTAGTCATGTGGGGAAGATAAAAAAGCAGCTGCCAATGCAATCAGTGATGAACTCAAATTAGATGTTAACCTTGATTTGAGGAAAATATCGAGTAGACAGGCATCCGCTACATTCAATGTTAGCCATACATTGATAGTAAACATATTGAAAGAAAATAAAAGACATCCCTATAAGATGATACCTTCTCAGGAGCTCATAGAAGACGATTTTGATAAAAGAACTCATCTTTTTGAGCAAATGATGGACATGTTGGATAACAATATCATCCAATTAGAAGACGTTATGTTTTCTGATGAGTGTACTTTGTCTCTTAACGATCATGCTAATCGGCAAAACTGCCGCTACTGGACAACGGAAAATCCTTACTGGATGAGAGCAAAACACATGCAATACCCTCAAAAGATGCATGTTTGGCAGTGGCATAGCTAGGTAGCCTAGAGCCCTGGGGAAAATTGAAAAATGGGGCCCCACTGCTATCAAAACTGGTAAAGTTTTATGAAGTAAAATCATTAAACATGCTAAGCTACTTCATCATCACCTCTTTTTCATGCGTTGCAGGGCAGGTAATAAAAATATTGAACACTCACAACATAAATTACAATTATTTCAATAATTGGAGTAGGTATCGGACAATAAAACGGAATAGAAAAGATTCAAGGGTTTATTATTATTATTATATAAAGATCGGACCTATCACCTGACTAAATAGCTATTATAATTACAATCTTCTCCTAGCTTCAGTTTTCGCAAAAGTATCAATTACTTCGGTTAAATCCAGACTTGATACGGTTTTGTTCTCAATTGCTATTAGCGATGAATGTCGGAGTCGAGTTTTTGCAATAAACTTAAAAACGATAACATTTTTTATTAGAGAATGAAGAGACCTTTCAAACGATATATCACCTATACTTCCCTGTCATTCGAAGGGGGATGAAGGTAGGGGTGGCATTTTAACGTTGAAGAATTTCAAATTATTTGACGTGTTTTGGATTTTTTTTAAATATGTACAGTAACCGATATTATGAATTCATTCCATTTCACTTTTACAGACTGTACATCGAACATTTTACTTTCACATTTTAATGTTTCATATTGTCATTGATAATTGGAAAAATGATGAAATATATTAGTATATCAAATCAGATTGAAAACAAACAGAAAACCAAAATTATTATGAAACTAAATATATATAATTTCATTGTGAAAATTATTTATTGATTCTGATCATTCAAATGATTCAGAAGTTGAATGTTAGGGTGAATTTACAAAAAAAACATCTGAAAACTTTTGAAATGGCCTTCGTGAAATAAGATGATAATAACACTATTTTGTTCTTGAATATAGAATTGAATTCTGTCTAATTTCTGCTAAGTTTTATATTTGTTACGACCGGTTTCAGTTTATTGTACCATTTTCAAGTGTATCGGTCTAACAAACCAAAACCAGGCGTAACGAATAATAAACTTAGTAGAAATTGGACAAAAGTCATTTTTTTATTCTACAGGGTGTAACTGAATAAGTGTAAAACATTTAAGGAGGTGATTCCTCATCGAAAAAAAGAT